CCCCGATGAAAATCCTTAGGCTAGGTCCCTTATGAAAGGTGTTTAGGGACGTAAAGTGAGGATAACAAGAACGGGTAATCTGGGTTATTGTTGTTTGATGAAATTAATAAATTTTATTTATTGTGGGTTGAAAACCCTATATGCTCACCAGGCTCCCAAGCCTGACCCACTCAGCTTTCTGTATTACAGGTCGTGGACCCCGAGCATAATTGGATGATGACGAGGGATTTTTGGATTATAAGCCAGTAGTTGTAAATAACTGTTGTAAGGCTTATAATTTACTGTTTATGCTTTTGGTCTGTATCGGAACATGACATCACGAGGTTTTGTTATATAATGAAAATATATTTCTTTAAGAAATGCTTTGATAAATTTTTATTATATTTTGTTTTGGGAACAAATTCCGCAACATCTTTTGGAAAATTACTCTGATTTTATTTTAAAAGCATAAACTAAATCGGTTTTTTCTGGCCGAGAAAAATGGGGATGTCACAAAATTTATATGAATAACCATCTCAACTCCAAATAACTTTGTTTCATTTCTTCATATTATATTTTATATTATGCCAAACTATATATACGTATAGTAATTGTAACTTGTAGGGGGCCCTGATTTTGTTGAGGCCCGAGGCGGTCGCCGAGCTTGCCTATTCTCTAGGGCCAACCCTGGGTTAATGATTTAACCTCCTACCACACCATCTATTCCTCAACCACAAAAATTATTGCTTATTCGGTTGCCTTCTTTAAGAAAACCTTTTAAGCTGATATTCTTTTGAAACGCAAGAACATGCCTCCGAGTTTCGAAATTCATTCGGAACCCATAAGCCACAAACATTCATGATCTTAAGCTCCACATATCCCTCATTCAAACAAATTTGATAGAGATTAAGTAAAGTTGAAGTCTCCCTAACCTTAGCAACCAAAATATTGTTAGAATCATGTAATCTTAACACGTCTTTTTTCCTTTAAGATAACTTTTTCTTGGGTCCCATCACATTCGATGCTGCATTATTATCATTATTGCCCGTAACAACATTCACATAGGATGTTTTAAGACCACCAACAACCCTTCCATGTCCTTGACCACCAAGTTTCGATCCTCCAACAACTATATAATCAATTGAAGGTGAAGCCCTATGTTGTTGTTCATATTTAACTGAATCTATTAATATTACAAACATTATGATCGACTACCTTAATAAAAATGTAAATTGACTTATCAGGGTAATTACCTTTTCGTTTTGTTCATATTTGGGTAACTTTTTTTTATATACATCTAGATAACGAAATTGTTGAAAGTGTTCTCGTATGACCATTATGACCGGATGTAACCTATTACAGCCCGTCATAATGATCATATTTGAATACTCCCAATAAGTTTGTTATCTACATACATACAAAAAAAATTATTACCTAAATATGGACAAAATACAAGTTAATTACCTTAATAAATCAATTTTCTGTTTTTCCAAAATGTTATCCTTAAAACATTTCAGGAAAATGACATTCGAGGGTATTTACCTTTTCGTCTTGTTCACGTTTACGTAACTTCATTTTTTTGTATACATTTGACCATTTAACTTGTTAAATATGTTCACATATTACCATTGTTACCTGCTATAACAAGTGACAATGGTAATATGTGAACATATTTAACAAGTTAAATGGTCAAATATGTACAAAAAAAGAAAGTTGTTTAAATATGAACAATTTTTTTTTATAAATTTCTTAAATTTTTTTATAATTTCTTACAACATTTTTATGATATTTTTTCACATTTTTTTTACAAAATTTTTAAAATTTTTTATAATTTCTTACAATATTTTTATGATATTTTTTATAGGTTTTTCTAATACAATGTTTTAAACTTTGCTTATAATTTTTTTTTCAACTTTTTTTATACTTTCATATAATTTTAATACAATGCTTTTAAACCAAATATTTTGTAAATGTTTTAAAATTCTCTTACAAGTTTTTTACTTTTTTTTTACATTTTCATACAATTTTTCTATAAATTTCATACATTTATTTCTAAACTTTCTTTACAGTATTTTTAAAGTGTTTTACAGATTTTGTATGACAATTTAATATTTTTTATAAGATTTTAAAATACTTTCGTTAAATACTAGTTTAAAACGTTGTATTAAAAAAATTAAAAGTTTATAAACTTCTAAGTAAAAAGCATTAAAAAGTTTGAATAATTTTAAAACATTTACATTATATAGATTTTTTTGGTTTTTTTATTTGGTAAGTAATATTTTCTTTTTAATTTTTTAAACGAACCTTCATACTTATTGTTACATATTTAATTTATTTAATTTTATTGTTAGAGGCTATTTACTTTAAAAATATTGTATATGCTTCAAAACAAAAGAAAAAAAATATAAGAGGCTACATAAAACATTTCACAAAACAAAAACATATTTATTAATTAAAAAGTAAAGTTTAAAATTGATAAATATTTAATTAATATTTAGGAAATTATGGATATTTTAAAAATAACGTTTGAAAAAAATAATACAAACAAATATGAAAAATAAAATCGCTATTAAAAGTGGGGAAAATGACTTATCAGGGTAATTAACTTTTCGTTTTGTTCACATTTAGGCAACTTTTTTTTGTACACATTTAACAATTTAACTTGTTAATTTGTTTACATATTACCATTGTCACCTGCTATAGCCGATGACAATGACAATATGTGAGCACTAGGCCGGTCCAAGCAAATCTGAGGTCCGGGGCAAATACAAAAAAGAGGCCCTTCAAGTTAATACTAGCATCAACATATGGATTTACTAAGCTTGCAAAGAATGATAGTAATGCACTTTCACAGGATAAAACTCTCCAGAAAATATGTAACCAGAAAATATCTTCGCTTTTATTGATAAGTTGATTCAGATGTATCTATGTGTGTAACCATTAACTTTTGCAATTAGCAAGAATACATAAAGACAAGTATGCCTATAATCAAATAACTTATTACGAATCTTGAATCTTCTAGCACTGTGCAATAAGATTAAAGAAATTAAATAGTTGTAATAAAAAAATAGAAGCAAAAGGTAAGAAACCGCATTAATGTAAATTACATCTTTTTTTAATTGCTATAGTACCTAAATTGTTCTAGTCTTAAAAAGGTAAAAAACAAATAAAGGTAGACACCCTTGTACCTTAGGGAGAATTTCACTAACTTCAATTATAATTATATATTTGTAAATTGTTTTTTGAATAAATATTTAAACCCAAAATTCTTAATATAATTAATTAACTAAGACACATTACCAATCTCTATTTTTTCGAGTTTAACAAAAATGAATCCATGAAAAAAACTCCAAAATAACAACGAAGTTAATTAAATCAAATAACCCATCAAAAATCATAAAGATCAGATATGTAATCCCAAAACTTTAAATAAAAAATTCATCAAAATCGAGAAAAGATGGAAACCAAGTACCATTACCATAACATGTGCTTTTCTCCTATGAATATCCTACAAAACGGAGCTGAACGCATGATCATAATAACATAAACACAATGGTTTCTAAATCCATTCAGAGCATTAATAGCTCGAAATTAAAAAAATCAACACTTTAAAAGCTTAATTAACTCAGAAAAAATAAAAAGTATAAGAAAAGAGGTGTTTCAGCTCGCTTCTCATGGTCGATGGATGAAACATAATTGTTTTCGGACGTCAAAGATGAGGATTTGCTATTTCATTTTGCTAATTGCTATGAATGAAAAATAAGGAATATTTTTAAGGTTGCAAGCGACCCCTCATTTACCACTTTTCTTTTGAAATCCTGCCTCCTCATTTACCACATTACCTCTGGAATCTCACCTCTTTTTCTATTTTCCAGAAAGGAAAAAAAAACAAGATAAGTAATACTAATGGGAGAGGTTCGAACACGGGAATCTTCTCGTGGATTAAAATTGTCATTCGACTGAACCATAACTAGAATCAATTTGTGGTTTTCCTTGCATATTAATACTTTACATCCTCTAAACCCATATATATATATATATATATATATATATATATAACCATAACTAGAATCAATTTGTGGTTTTCCTTGCATATTAATACTTTACATCCTCTAAACCCATATATATATATATATANNATATATATATATATATATATATATATATATATATATATATATATATTGTAAATTTTGGGGGCCCCAAGATTTGGCGAGGCTTGGGGCGGTCGCCCAGCATGCCCACCCTTTAGGACCGGTCATGATGAACACATATAACAAGTTAAATGCTTAAATGTGTACAAAAATAAAGAAGTTACCTAAATGTAAACAAAACGACAAAGATGATTACCGTGTAAATGTCATTTTCCCAAATTTAGGTATACTACCCCATATTTTGGTGTGGATCGACCACGGTTCTTTTAATCCTCCCTTCCCCATATTTGCGTTATTGTTGTCGCTTGCATTTGTTGTCTAGCCCACAAAAGAAAGTGCTACCCCAGTAAGCCACTCAAGAGTCGAGAGCGAATCAGGCTTTGAGTGTGTGCGAGCGGACCCAGCAAGAAACTCGAACCCTCCTTGCTTCTCAAAATCTATTAACACCCATCAAAATTCAAAAAATCGAAATCGCAGCTCTCCTTCTCTCAAAATCGATCGTAGGTTCTTTATCCCTATTCTTCTCCCTCCAATCGATCACCAGATGTGTCTCCTTCTTCCCTCTTCCCCCTATTCAACTTATGTTTCGACCCATGATGTGACTACGATTTCTCCAATTTTTCTGCTGGTTTCTTTTGTTTTCTAGATACCCGTGTTTGATGATTTCTTTTGGCGTGTTTGGTAGTTCCTTTCATTTGGGAAATTTAGGCTCATTTTGAATCGTTTTTTAAGTTTCTCTTTGTGCCTCTTGCCACCCACTGAAACGAAGGTTTGCTCATTTTGGTTTTGCACACCAGGTGTTTGATGTTTCGTTTGTTTGAACATTAGAAGATTCTCCGCCAACTGCTACTGGTTCAACCCAACAAGATGACCTGGATGTTCCTTAGAAGGGCAATCATCTTTCGAGAAATAGTGAATTACCATTTTCAATCAAAAAAACGCAGCCTTTCCTCAAGTATCTTACGTTCTGTCCGTAGTAGAATTGAAGCAACTCGTGATTCGAAAAATGAATCCAGTTCTTCAAATTATAATCACAACCTTCACCATTTACCATTGTTTTCAAAAGTTTGTGATCAACCCCATGATTACAAACTTGACATCGTAGATGATGAGACTTGGGAAATTTCAACAGGTTTCGCAGATGCCATGAAAGATGCTACTTCCCCATCACAGGTAACTAATTCCTCTCGTGCTCAAATGGTTAATCATGCACCTCAAAACCAAAACGACCCTGATTTTGATGAAATCGATGATTTGAGAATATGTGGAAATCTGTTTTATAAGCTTGACAAATCTTCAAAAGAATACGAAGAATACAATTTTGATTTCCACAGGAGGAAATCTTCTAAAAGGAAGGGTGATTCAATTTCAAAAGAGTCCCCATCTTCAAGACTTGAAAATGTTTCAAACAGACAAGATGAGTTCACAGAAAGCAAAAAGAAAGGAAACCAACTTTCCAAATTTCATAAATTGGATAAACTGGAAGAATCTTTAATGGGAAATAAGCATAAGCAAAAGGAAAGGGTTCCAACTTTCAATCAGTTAACAGCAGCTTATCATGAGCCATTTTGTTTGGACATTTACATCTCAAAAGCATCTGTACGTGCATGCATTGTTCATCGAGCAACAAGTAATGTTGTTGTTGTGGCTCATTCCATTTCTAAAGACATGAAGTTTGATTTGGGTTCAACTAAGAATGTTGTTGCTTGTGCTGCTGTTGGGAAAGTATTAGCACAAAGAGCTTTAGCTGATGATATTCACAATGTGATTTATACACCAAGAAAAGGTGACAAATTGGAAGGGAAACTTCAAAGTGTACTTCAGTCTTTAATAAGTAATGGTGTATGGGTGAAGGTGAAGGTTAAGAAGACGAAAGCTCGAAAACCTGGATTTCAATCTGCAGATTATAAGTGTTAGATAGAATTTTCTCTTTAATAGAATCCTTAAGGAGAGAGGTGATATAAAGGCAGATGTGAAATGACTATCTTGTCCTTTGTCAAATCTTAGAACAACCTCCCTGTTGTACTTAATGGATTTAATGAGGAAAAGCTTATGTCATCTATGAGGAATGAATGCTTCTTTGAAAGGTAGAAGAAAATTGATGTGGTGGCTCTTAGAGAAGAAAGTCCCATATATAAATGAAATAAAGGATAGAACTAAATACAAGACATAGCAACAGATTTTCATTATAACATCTTACTTTTATTTCTATATATTATTGCATTGTAATTTCAATTTTTATTTCTTTTAAGTCGTACTTTGAAAAATCTACCCAATTATAGTAGTGAAATCGCTTTATATTCGGATGAAATTGTTATAAATATAATAGGCTACATTTTTCAAAGTAAAACGTTATAATAAAGAAATTAATAAAAGTATGTTGTTATTTCTTGTATTGTAATGGTCTTTTGGAGCAAGCCTTATTCTTGTGCATCTAATCTTTTTAATCCTTGTTTGGTAAAGAGAGTCCTAGTTTTATATATATATATATATATATATATATATATATATATATATATATATATATATTGTATTTAAAGTAATTATTGTATTGATGTAGGATTAAATGTGGGCAAATCAAATTTTTAATTTTTAATACAAATTGATTAATATTAAATTAATATGAATAAAATAAAAAAACATCACATTTAATGAAAACGGGTGCATAAGGGTATTTGTGTATATTTCTCATCTCCATTAAAATAGGAAACTGTCTCGATTGATCTCAACTGCCCACATAATCCCTATAACATCGCATAAACCCGGATTCGACTCCCATTTCTATCGGAACACAAAATCAAAGAATATTTACTATAATCAACAAAAAAATCGGTGGATTTTGTTCTTGTTTTTGTATATACTCATCAATTCTCCAAGAGTTGTTTACTGAAGTTGCATTGTGATATTTCAAAGAAGAAAAATTGGAGTATAATGAGGAGTACAAGGTCGACTGCTTTCAAATCGAAATTTAAGAACACACAAGCAATGGTGTTGAATCTAGATGAAGACGATGATGATTTTGTTTCTCCCGCTATAGGTAATTTTTTTTAATTAAATTTTTACGTTTGAATCCATAAAATTCTGTTTGAAAACGTATATTTTTTTATTAGGGTTTTCTCTAATCGAAAAAGAAAAATCTATCAGAATGTTTGAATTTTTGGATATATGATTGTGGTTCTATAATAATAGGGGATGTGATTGTTGTTTTGTAATGTGTTTTTGAAGAATAAGAAGTTAGTTTTTTTTTTTTTTTTTTTTTTTATGTTTTATGGTTGTGATTTTGGGGGTTTTCTTTATTGATTATGTTATGGATTCTGTAAGTATTATTTGACTCGCAATTCTGTAAGATAAGTGATCATACATGAATTGCATTCTGTCAGAATCAAAACATGCAAATTCTTGTATGTGGTTGTGGTTCTGTAATAATAGGGGATGTGATTGTTGTTTTGTTATGTATATTTGAAGTATAAGAAGATAGTTGTTTTATGTTTTATTGCTGTGATTTTGGGGGTTTCTTTATTGGTTATGTTATGGATTAAGTAAGTAGTATTTGACTTTCAATCCTGTTAGAATAAGTGATCGAACATGTATTGCATTCTGTCATAATGAAAACATACAAATTCTAGTTTGTGGTTCAAGGGATTGAAGTATGGCTGGTTATTTTGGAAAATATTACTAAGTAACTGTAATTATTTGATTCATCAGTTGCTGCAGAAGCTGAGCAGGAGCCAATTAATGTTGTTACTACAAGTGAAAAAAATATACAAAGGAAATATTGTACCAGATCAACACCTGTGAAAGACAATATCATTTCTCCACCTACTTTCTGTTTTTGCTTTATGATTTATAACAACAATTATTTAGAATATGTTATAATGTTAATAAATGATATTCATTAGTAATTAATGTAAATTTTATCATTATAACAGAATCAGTTATATGAATTGTACAATCTATTCACTTATAATCTAATGTTGAAAAAAAAAATATTCTGTTAAGATATTTTGATAATACGTATATGTTTTTATTTGATCAAGCAGTTGGTGAACAAGGTGAACAGATTCATATAAATATTGTTGGATTAAGTAAAACAAAGGACAACAGGAAAAATTCTTCAAGAACAGAACATGGAAAGAACAATATAGCTTCTGGAAATTCAGGTAATTTCTTAATTTGGTTTATTTTCTTATTTGGTTCAGTAAAACTTGTAATTTATAATATATGATTATGTTAAAATTGGTGTACAATTAAGTGTTCTTACATAGTGATTTATAATATATAATATGATAAAACTAGTATACAATTAAAACTTGTATACTAGTTCTAGTAGAACTTGTAATTGTATACAATATAAGTCTATTATAATTGGTATACAATTAAATATTCTAAAAAACTTATTTATAAAACTTCTATTATATATTTAAATAACTGTTAGTGGGTAATTAAATAATTATTGTGTAATCCCAATGAGTAGAGCATAATTAAGTATGTTTATGTGATTCAGTAGTTGATAACAAAGGTGAACAGGAGATGATACGTATTGATAGTACAAGTGTAAAAAGGTTGAAAAGGAAGGATTCTGCAAGAACAACAACTGAAAAGGATAAGAAGAATTCAGTAGAAGCAAGGGCTGAAAGTAAAAAACCAAGAAGTTTAAATGAATTACTTGTGGAGAGTATGAGTGGATCAAAGAGAAAAAAATGAAAAGGTAGACATTGGTATCGATGTGGAAGATAAGGAAGTTGTTGGTAAAAGTAAAAAGGTAGTAAATGATCCACAGTCAAAGAAATCTCCAAAGAAAAAAAAAGGGGAAAATAGAACATGAGAATGTGTCACAACCCGAAAATTTCTATCTTATAAAGTCAAACACATCAACTTAAGGACAAACTTATGGGTTTTTAGACCGAGTATACGTAAGGGTTGCGTGTTAGGAAGTGAACCACATAAGAACCAAGAGCCTAGAATAACATTCGAGCCATAAAACCTCAACAAGTGAGGTTCACGGCCGTGAACCCCTCTTAGGCCGTGAACCACCCTTATATATATAATATACTTCATTCTTGATTCATTTCTCACCTCTTGGCCGCGATCCTCTCAAATCTCTCTCAAGAATCATCCACAAGAACTTTATCTTTCACTCTTTTTCATCCCTTTTCGTTACCATCTTCTTGGAATACATCAAAGAGCCTTCAAACACTCACCAAACAACAAGATCTTCAAGTGTTCTTCACCATTTATGGGTCGTGAACTTTCCCAAGGCCGTGAACCATTCATCATTTGGGCCGTGAATCCTCCCAAGGCCGTGAACCATTCATCATTTGGGCCGTGAACCTTCATTTGGGCCATGAACCATTCTTCAATTTGGGCCGTGAACACCCCATAGGGCCGTGAACACCTCAAGCCCAGTCGTGAACACCCTTTCAGCCTCCTAACTTGCTTTTAACACTCCTTTGGTGAGTTATTCTTGCATCCTAGGTTGTTT